CGATACGAAAATATAGCAAATTTATCCTGTTATTCTTATTCTCACCGCTACTAGTGCTGTACGTTACCAGAGAGGATATGTATAGTCTAGTGAAGTACACAATCGGAAGGACTGAAAAACTACTATCCATATAAAAGCTTTTGACGAACTACTAGTATTTTCTTTTCTTTGAAAATATTTATCAAGAGACATTGCTGTTCTCAGTTAAAAAAGATTTAGTTTTACTCATCGATTCTTACATAAGAGTCAGTCAAGAATCTCGCTAGAAGCTTATAAGTATCAAAGAAAGATCCGTGTCCGAGTTCTATCGGATTCTTATCAAATTCGTAAACAAGATTACGCAGGAAAGTGGAAAGAGTTTCGTAAGAGTCTTATAAGAATCTGATAAGAGATTCGTAAGAATTTCATAAGGAAGTGATAAGTACTCTTATGTAGTTGGTATCTCGTTCTTATGATATTCTCACTTGGAAACGTTTCTCTGTGATCGAAATTGCTAGACTTTGCTCAGTAAGTTGATCTACAGCAGTTCTACATCTAAAATCTACGCAAAAAAATTAAAAAAAACCAGTGATCCGTTCAAGGTTTGAGTCTGATGTCTCCTATACTGTGCTCTTAACAACTGAGTTGTGACGGACTACAAGTGCTAAAACAATTTTTTGTCAAGAAAAACGGAAAAGTGATCTCAAATAATGTGAGAGTGTTTTACGGTTCAGAACTTATATATTTTATTTACTTTATGGTCCTCAACCTATTTAAATATTGCAAAAGTGTTTACGATAAAAAAATAGAATATTTCTGACATCCTCTTGAAACCGAATATACGTCGCTTTGAGCGGATATGGGAGTGCTTTTACTGGAATTAGAACGACTTCTGTTCCAATATCGAACCGTTGCCGAACGCACGAAGTGTTGTTGTTGAAGTGTTGCCCTTGGTAAAACGAATTGTTAACTTTTTTTCCAAAACAATATAAAATTTACTATTTCTTATTAAACTTTCTTATAAAAGTACAAATCTCTTCTCAGATTTTTGTAAGACTCTTATGAAACTTTTTTCGCTTTCCTGCCTAATCTTGTTCAAGAATCTGGTAAAAATCCAATAAAATTCTTGTCAGAACTGATAAAAAAGTTTCGGCAAGGGAGTTTTATTTATACTGATAACTTTCAGAGTGTCAAGGGATGATATAATCATATTCTATACAAATTCTTTTTATGTTTCCGTTACGCTCATTCAAACGGAAAGATGAAGAATTTTTCTGTTTACTACATACGTCTTAATAAACGTCTATGCTTGTCACGCTTTTGCTATCTGTATGATATACTGCAACTCCCATCTGTTTCCCTTTAGATAAACTACTGATTAGGAATTTATTCTTAAAATGCCTGTGTTATGCGTAAGATCGTAGGTCAACTAGTTTATTTCATCTTTTTGTACGACGGAACACGGTACAAACTGAAATGGAACATTTCATATGTTGTAGTCATCATATTTCTGAAAAAAGATCTCGGTAAATTACTGATTGAAATCCATCAGTGTGAACTAGATAGGGCATCGATGAAAAGAACGAAATTATATCCTAGTAATAAAACAGAATAATCTGTTAGTAGTTAGCTGTTTCTAAAGAAGTTTGCTGTTGATCGTAGTAAATCGAGTTTCCTTGTCTATATGACGAGGAAAAAATAAATAAACAAATAAATCATACTTACATCACTTTATCAAATATAAATATTTAGTATATATATTGAACAACAATTTATATGTGTAAACACTTAAGCTGTCTATATAAGAAAGCTAGAAAGAAAATATTGTACGTTTACCGTTTTTTTCGGTGAAAATGAATACGAGACATGTCATGCTTCTTAAATTTCGTCTCAGATTCAACATTTATCAATTACAATCATATAATTTGAACTTGTAGACTTTTTCTATCTATGATCGTAACATATTGAATTATCATTAAGTAATTGAAATAAATCAGATAGAAATAAAGAGAATCAGATAATCAAATCATTGTTTCAGGCGATCAGATACTATTGAAGAATATACACAAATACATCTGTCAAACATAATATATTTGAGTAACGATAGATTACATATAAATATATTTGTACAATAATTATTAGATTTAATTCGGTAAATACATGGTTCCATATGTTAAATTCCAGTTTTCTAACAGATTTTATCTGGATTATATTCATAATAAATACGATTTATTAATATTAAAGTGCACTTGTTCTATTTTTATTGTCTGATCACTAAAATCGAATCAATCATTGTCTTTTTCTCGTTTGGTAGAAAAATTGGTTTTCTCATTTGAACGTGCTGAGCATAATTTGATTAAGAATTCTAATACATATTCAATAAAGTTTTTTTTCTTTTTATTTATTCTCTTGCTTTTTTGTCACACTTATCTTCTTCGACGCTCACCAAGACCAATAGTCTCTAGTCAGTTTTCAAATTTTGATTATCAATCAGAAATAGAATAATAAGTAAGAGAATGACATAGAAAGTGAATGAACGAGCACAAATCCACAAACATACTAGATCAAAAAACAATTTCCTCTATTGTTTGTATCATTTTATCCAAATCGAACTTTTTATTCTCAAAAGTAGAAGGATCTGGGAAGGAGCATTAGCATTATTAATTTTAAGCATGATGATATGGTCATATTCATTATTAGTATCAATTTTGTTGTCCTTATTGTTCAAAACAGTATTCACTCAACGATTTCGTACGCTCAGTAAACAAAATACGACTTGTTCTGTAATATCAATGGCTACAATTTCATCGAGTCGATCCGAAAATGAAAAATTTGGTAACATCAAAGCATTTTCGACATTAGTTCAATCAAATATTACAAATACGTGTGGTAAATTCGAAATGTAAGGTAATAATTTTAGTAATTACTATAGGTGACTAATCATATTATTCATTATGTTTAAGAGCAACAGTCTCAGTTCATGCTAAATCGATCAATAACGTTATAAATAGTCTCTGCTCAATACTTTATTGGCGTCCAATGATAGTCTATTATTTTAATGATTATAAAAATGAACATCAGGGTTCTCCATCGTCATTTTTTTTCATTTTGAAAATGTTTACATCAATGAAGTATCCAATGTTAACATTTAACTATTTTCATCCATTTCATCCCATGGTAAGAAGATCTTCTTTTTAAAGTATTTATGTGTCCAAATAATGTGAGAACGTGTAATATATTTTACAGAATTATCCAGATTTAAAATTTTTTCAATTTGCACCAACATATCGCGAAGAAGCACGGGCATTATTAGCACTCATGGATCGATATGACTGGAGTACATTTTCATTAATTATTGATCCAAACTTACCTGGTGAAGAGGAACTAATTTCCGAAATTGAACAAATTTCTAATAATCAACAAAATTGGTACGTCGTTCTTTTTCAAATCGTAGGTATACGTTATACACCATTACATATGCACACAACATATTATTTTAATAAAAATTTTAGTAGAATAGCATCATGTAATCGTGTGCTAAGAAAAGGGCAAAAAGGGTAAGTTATAAGAAGAATAAATAAAATCTAACTTTAAAACGATATATTTGGTTTCAGATTTTCAGTTTTATCTGTAATTTCAATAGTAAATACAAATCAAACTCATATAAAAAGACAATTAACAGCAAAACTAAATCCTGAAACTCGTGTCATTGTTATTCACACTACATCGTATGTATTGCAGTTTATGTTTATCTATTTTTGATTAAAACAGTAGATGCAAATACTTACTTCGTTTGTTTTTAGAACTGTTGCAGCACTAATATTGAAAGTTGCAAAAGAGCTATCATTAACTGGTGAAGAATACATGTGGATAATGACATCGATCGTACTTTGTAAATATTTAAAATAGTCTAATTTAAGTGGTTGAAATAATTCTTGAATATGATTTGTTGTGCTCTATTATACTATTTAGCTACGTATACAAGTGAAGATAATCATAAATTATCGCCGTACGAAAGTCCTAATACGAGAAGAATGGAATTTATACCGGGGATGCTAGGTTTGCTAAGACGGTGGTGTATGTGTGTTACTTCATCAACGTTTCTTTTTATTTTAAATTTTAGCTTTATATAATGGAATGACTCGAGATGCCGTGTTAGCACGCTTCGATCGACATGTAGCTCCATTGATTGTCAATGTATTTTCTAAACTTACAAATCATCCGATTATCCAACAATGGAAGAATAATGAATCAGCGCGTTACGAATCAGATTCGTCAAAATGCATCAGACTATTCAATAATATCCAAAGATCGGTTCATTCATATCCAGACCTATACACGTTAGCTGTTCAACAGGGAAACTACCATAGTTTGTATATGTGATATATATTTCATTATTTTAGATTGTTGATTGATGAATTTAAACGTTCATCAAGTATATTTCAGAAAGATGGTTTATCTCTAGCTGGAAATTATTCATTGTACAATTTTCAAATGCCAAAAAAAGAATGGAAAAGGGTAATAATGTAAACGTTAGCATACTAGAATCATCAAAAATATAATTTTTATTTCAGGTTGGAGAATATATAAATGGCTCATTATCAATGGCCGACCTTCAGTGGCCGGGTAATCGTTCAAAACCGCCGCCGGGTAAGTATTTTCATTTTAGTTAAAACTGTAAACAAAACTGAATGCTTTTTTTCAAAAGGTAAACCGATAATTTATTATTTGAAAGCGGTCACTTTAGAAGAGCCGCCGTTTGTTATGATGAAAGATCCATCTATAGATGGAAAATGCATGCCTGGATCTGTTATTTGTCGAGTAGGACCAGAAAGCGTGTAAGTAACAGATGACATAATTTATCCTAATCAATCAATCTTTTTGTTCCCACACGCATATCTAATGATATCACAAAAAAGTACTGAGCTAGAATGAATGTGAACAGAAATAAAAAGAGAAAAGAAATGAGAGAACACTTACATACAAAAAGAACTGTTGGTACACGCAAACACATCCATGAGAACTCCATAACACTTACTCACCTCACATACGCAGATACTGTCTCAGCTTGCCCTTAAAAAAATTAAGAAAAAATGAGAAAGTAACTGTTCTGGACAACTAATCCTGCTCCACACAAACACGCAGAAGAAAAAATCAACTGCACAACGCGTTTTTAAGATGAGACATGTTCTATGATCTTATTGTATGCGTTCATAAGATGCATAAGATTTTCGTAAGAACTGCTACCAGTTCTTTTCAAGAATTCAAAATAAAATAAAAGTGAGGTAGCTAGTTATATTG